TCCAGATATGACCAAATACTTAAAAACACTGCAGAAATATCAAGTCTTAATGTATATCTTTTAATAAATTAATCAAATAAATATTTCACATACTGAAAACACTTCAAAAAATGCAAAATTCAAGTTGCCTTATCTTCCAAAAATGGTAACACAAATGACTATGTGCTATGCATTTTAAATTCAAATCTGTGCATGAGTGCAATAATTTAGCAATGATTTTGTGGTTGTGCACAACTGTAATCCCAGCTCTTGGTAGGCTGAGGCAGGATAATTGCTGTGAGTTTGAGGTCAGTCTGGGCTCCATAATGAATTCAAGGCCAGCCTGAATTACATAGTGAGAACCTGCCTCAAAATAATAATGATGATGATAATAAGTTTTAACAGTAAAGACTTTTAAAATTGAGTACTTTAAAAAAATTTTTGGTGGCACTAGAGATGGAAACAAGGGCGTTCCTCCTCATGCTAGGAAAGCACTCTACCACTAAGCTGTATCTCCAGCACTTCCTATTCATTCTTGTAAAGCCAATGACTGAGGATGATAAACACTCCAATATAATGTGATATTGGAAATTTGTCAATTTATCAAATATTCCTAACTCATTAAATTATCAAGACAGGTATGATGGTGTACTGGGAGGCTGAGGCAGGAGGACCACCATGAATTCAAGGCCAGCTTCTGCTACATAACAAGACCCTGTCTCAAAAAAAAAAAAAAAATCAAATCTGGTTCCAATTTTATATTTTGCTAATTTAATATGGAACTATATGGAAGATTTCAATTTAATTAATTATAACTATAAAAGCAAACTTTTAAGGTCATTTGAAGGAAAATAATAGGCTATAATATTTATATTTTGTATTACTAATTGTAACCAACTAGGGATTAAATCTGGACTTGTGACAGTTCCCTAAAAATTACACCGGTATTTGTTCATTTCTGTCTTGATAGTTAGTTGTTATTCTTCACACAAAATTGTTATAAAGTTAAATTGTCTACATTGACAATAAAAAGGTATTAAAACAATTCAAGACTTGATATCAGCTATGCAAAGGAATAGCACTGGTAATTTTTTTTTCTCCAATACTGTGGATTGAACCCAGGTTCTCAAATCTACATACTAACCCCTACCCTTCTTTTAAGATAAGGTCCCATTAAATTGTCAGGTTAGGGGCCGGGGATTTAGCTCAGCGGTTCGGTTGCCTGCCTTGCAAGAGCAAGGACCTGTAGTTCAATCCCGGGTACCAAAAAAATAAAATTAAATTAAAAAAATAATAAGTTGTCAGGTTGGCCTCAAACTTTTTATCTGTTTGGTTCTTCTTTGCAAGTCTTTTTTGTCTTGCTAGTGTGTACTCTGAGCATCATTTTGGCCATTCTTTTAATATTATGATACACAGTGTATTAACTATTGTTATTCTTTAATTATTTTGTTGTGAAATTTTCTTTTATTTTTCATGAGTACTTTTAAAGATTTTATTAATATCTACTTGTATTATATTAAAATAAAATTTAAAAATGTTTTAAAGATATTGGAGATTGAACCAAGGGCCCCAGCCCTTTTATATTTTTCATTCTTGAGACAGGGTCTTGCCCTGTGTTGCCCAGGTTGGGAGAGAACTTTTGATACTCCTGCTTCATTCTGCTGTATAGCTCAGATCACAGGTGTGTACCACCACATGCAGCTGACAAAAATGTTTTAAAAAGTAAATATGATTAATCATACTTTTTATTCTGCTACATAAAGCATAGACAAATCTCTCTGAAAGCAATCTTTATAATTCAATAGTCAAATTTAAATTTTTATTTGCTTAAGAAGAAGGAAAGAGTCCTCCTGTACATTAACTAATTGGTCCTGCTCCAGCATCTGCTCCAGCATCTGCTCCATCAGAGTGAGTTCCAGGTAGCAAAAAATATGTTCCTGTGCCTATTATACCTTGGTAACAAACTACAGTAAAGTGAACACCCTAATAAAATTTTGATTTGTAGGAAATGGAAAGGCTGTCAGTATCAAATCAATAGTTATTGCATTAGAAATTTGGCCCTTTTATTGCAGGGAAATATAAACTGGAGTGGAAAAGAATATGGCCTTACAATAGGTATTTCACATTTTCTAAGAGAAAATTAAAAATTATTTTGCTATCTACTAAAGATGCGGGTTTAAGAAAAGTCTCAGTGATTAACAACAAACAATATCACCTTCCCTTCTATAACTAAATTGGTTCTTCTTAAATATATTAATCCTAGTTGTAATGGAAATTTTTTTAAAGTCTATTTTCTTCTCACAAGCACGAGGTCCTGAGATCAATCCTTGCTACCCACCCCCGAGAGAGAGGGGGGGGGAGGGGGAGAGAGAGAGAGAGAGAGAGAGAGAGAGAGAATACTTATCTGTTTACATACCAATAAGGTCTCGTGACAAGTGACATAAAGTTTATTTTCTTTCTCTAAGGTAATACACATTTTGGAAATCTGCATGTTTATTTTTTAGCAGGCTCTGTGTTATGTACCTTTTCTCACTCTTACAACTATTTGGAAAGCAAGATTCCTCAAAATATAAAAACAATATTGGTCATGTTATATTAAAGAATAATTTCAACCATTTAATACAAAGCAACATGGTCTTTTTGGTTTCTGTTAACAAGGCAAAATAAAAGTCCTTCGAAGGGACTGGGGATGTAGCTCAGTAGTAGAGAACATGCCTAGCATGTGAGCCCTGGGTTCAATCCCTGCAAAGAAAAACATGGTAATTCATAGGAACAAAAAGTTAAATGAGTAACCTGTCTTCTGTGGGACATAACTCATCACCATGCTCTCTCTTCTATTAGTAACATCTATCTACTCTTAATTACTGCAAGGTTCAAGTTCAGTACTACAAATGCAGAGACTTTCCAGTTTTCATCAGAGTTTTCTTTTAATATTCTTTCTAGATGCTGTAATTTCACAACTATTATTTCAGATTTATGACAACAATTCAAAGTACAGTCTACAATAAAGGTCATAGGTATTGCTTTTTTTTTTTTTTTTTTTTTTA